GGGCCGCTCCCCAGAGGAAGAAGGCGAGTCCCAAGGCAGAGCTGTCCGAGGGGCAGCAGCGGGAGATCCGCGAGGCTTTCGAGCTCTTCCACACCGACGGCAGCGACAGCATCGATGTCAAGGAGCTCAAGGTGCGGCTGGAAGCACAGGACTGCCGGTGTTAGAAACCGAAATCACCTCCGACAGCACACGGCTTCCCTGCTTTGCCCCTCCTCCTCCCAGCATAAAACCCGGCTTAGTAAAAGGGCACATTATTGCAGCTCTTTCCTGCTGTTCTCAGGTGTGTTTGGGGCCAGGCTGCCCAAAATTCATGGACAGCTCTGTGTTTTCTGTCCTGACTCCTTCTCTGTCAGTAAAACATCAAAAAAAGGGTTTGTTCACATTAAAAAGGTGCTCTTGTCTTGCTGAGGATTTCATGCTTCTCTTCCTTCTCCTCCTCCTTCTCCTTCCTCCTGCTTCTTCCTTCCTGAAAAAAAGGGTTTGTGCACAATTCAGAGGTGTTTTTCCCTCTTTTCGAGGATTTCATGCTGCTTCTGCTTATTATTAAAACCTCAAAAAACGGTTTGTGCACTTTTAAAAAGTGTTTTTTCCCCTCTTGTTGAGGATTTCACTTTATTTGTTTATTAAATTATCCCAGCTGAGGAATCCACCAATGTCACTCATTTTCCTGCTTTTATTCATTGCAAACCCCTTTTGGTCCACCCTCTTCTTTTGGGAAGAAGAGTCATCAGTGAATCAGGACTTATTTTGCTTCCAGGAGTTGCCCCTCTCATTTCCTACCTGGATTTCCGTGTTCCCTAAGACCACAGGGAGCAGATCTGGTTTCAAACCTGCCTCTTGTCTCTTTATCAAAGGAGGGAAATGTTCCCCCAACAGTCATTGAAAGAGATTTTTATCACTGGAGCTGATTATACAACCAAAATAGGGGCTTTAAGAGCAGCAAATAATCCAAATTTTCTCGGTGCAAACATTTCTCCCAAGACTCTGATACGGCCAAATCCCAAATCCCTCCCTGTCCTGAGCTGGGGCAAAAGCGTGGCTAGGAAATTCCTGAATTAACTGCAGGCCAATTCCAGAATAGGAATGTTTCTATCCCTGTTTTCTGCATCCTGATGTGCCCCTGTTTTCCTTCAGACACAGAATGTTGTGACGTGATGTGGCAGAAGTTCACCCGTTTTTTATTCCCTCCCCTGTGGCTTTGTTGATAATTTTGTAGGGTTTGTAACTGATTTTGTGGGATTTATGCCTGATTTTGTCCTTCCAGGTGGCCATGAGGGCCCTGGGCTTTGAACCTAAAAAAGAAGAGATCAAGAAAATGATCTCAGACATCGACAAGGAGGGGACAGGAAAGATCAGCTTTGATGACTTCTTGGCAGTGATGACCCAGAAAATGGTATGGAAGTGGTAAAAAACAAATTAAAGGCAATTTTAATGTGTGATTCATCTCCTTTTGGGTTTAGGGGGAGATTAAAGCACTATTTAATCTCAACTAAATATATGAAAGTTGGATTCTGTCTCATTTTTCAAGGACAAACATCCTGGAATCTGTCTCATTTTTCAAGGAAAGGTTGAAATAACAGTATCATTCCCAACTTCCTTTAGCAATCAGGGGTTTTTTTTTTGAGTGTGAGAAAAGGGAAAACCTGCTTTTCTCCCAGAAAAATCCAGGCTTTTCTCCCAGCTCCAATGCAGCTGTGGAGCTGTTGGAGTGTTTTTCTGTGACGTGGGGGTATTTTCTCTTCTTGAGTTCTAATTTACTTACAGATTAAATCTCTGGATTTAAAAATCTTCAAATATGTTGAGTGAAACCAAGATCCTCGTGGTGAAATCCCAAAGACATCTGGCTGGCTAGGACAGAGAGAAAAAATTCCCTGGAATTCTGGCTGTGCCTCTGTCTCCCTTCAGCCTTTATGTGTGATTCCTGCTGACTGGAACTCCTTTAAATTTACTCTTAAGGGTTTCTCAGTCTATCAAATCTTTTATAACTTTATTTGGAGTGTTCCCTACGACACAACTCCCCCTTATTTTTCCTTTCAGACTTCCTTCTCCTTCCTTTTTTAAGGCTGAAAAAGACTCCAGAGAGGAAATTCTCAAGGCCTTCAAACTCTTCGACGACGACGAAACCGGCAAAATCTCCTTCCAAAACCTCAAACGTGTGGCCAGAGAACTGGGGGAAAACCTCACAGATGAGGAGCTGCAGGTTTGTACCTGGGGAGGAAGAGGGAAGTGGGATCTTCGTGCTGGAGCTGTAGGAAAATCCCTTTTTTCCTGGTAGGAATGGAAGAGTTTGTGTCCAGCAGTGGATTTTGAGGTTGAGCCCACACGGTTCAAATGGCAGCTTTCTGAGAGTGATGGAAAGGGAATAACTCTGCTCCAAGCACTTTGTTTCTCCCAGGAAATTTCCTGTTGTATTTTTGAGACAGATTTCTGCATAAGTGTATTTAGAAAAAACAAATGAATGTCTAGTTGGGACAATATTTTGTCACGGAGTAAGTCTGACATTGAGGGAACACCATCCCCTCCAGTTTTAGTACAACTTACCAAAAACTGGTTCTAATCCTGCTGAATCCAATCATTCCAATGCACATCTGACTCCTGCTCACCAATCTCTTGCAGGAGATGATCCATGAGGCAGACAGAGATGGGGATGGGGAAGTGGACGAGCAGGAATTCCTGCGGATCATGAAGAAGACCAGCCTGTACTGAAGCACAGTTGGATTTATTCCTTTGCACACATGGTGTGGATGCCTCATTTTTTCCCCAGTCCTTTCTTTGTTTTGACTCAGCATAAAAAAAAACCAGGCCAGTTTTGTTCCAAGTGGATGGTTTTAAAGGTGTCTGTGAGCAGTTCCCCACCCTGTTTGCATGCTGGTTGCTGCTTTGTGCTTGGGAGATGTTTACGCTGCTTTCAGTGCACAAATCACATTTTTGGGGCAGGATTCAGATCCTTTTCTGACCAAAAAAAAAAAAAATCTGTCAAACCATTCTAGTTTGGTAAAGAGAGAACTCAAAAGCAGCCAGGGTCAATCTCTGTCCCCCAGCAGTTGGGAGTTTGGGCCCAGTGAACTCTTCATATTTGCAGGGATCAGCTTTTTATAACGTGTTTTACGGGGATTATCTCCTCCCCCCTTTTTAGGATGTTCTTTAAACTCCAAACAAAGTAAATAAATTGCTGCAATTTAACTCGTGTTCAGTTCACGTGGTCAAAGAACTCCCTTTGCCAAAGGAAAAGGAGCTGAGAGCTCCCTGTGTTTGCAGGAAGGTTCAGTGGCTGCAAATGTGATTGTGTTTAAAATAAAGTGTCTTATTTTCAGTTGTGCAAAGAGTTTTGATCCCCACTCTGCAAAAAAAGCAATGTGGAGAAGGTGATCCAGGTCCTGGGAGGGAAAGCTGAGACAACAGGGCTTGTCCAGCCCTGGGAAAATGAGGTTTAGGGGACAATTTATCACCATGCTCTGGTATTTAAAGGGTGGATACAGAGGAGATGGAAACTCCCTTTGCACAAGGGGGCCATGGAAAAGCTGGGGGTAATGGGTACAGGTTATTCCTGAGGAGATTCCCAATGGACACAAGGACAATTCTCACGATGAGAACAATCAGCCATGGGAATATCTGCTCAGGGAAGTGCTGGATGGCCCAGCTTTGGAGAGTTTTAAGATCCAGTTGGGCAGGCAGCTGGGCCAGCTCAGCCTTGAGGTCCTGCCAACCTGGAATTCTCTGGTTCTGTTTATACCAGAGCAGAATTCCTCCTCTTCCCACCAGACCTGGATACTGATACTGAATTGGATTTTTTCCTGTATGGTTTTTCCCCCTCCCTGGCCCACCAGTGGCACTGAGAGCACATCCTGATCCAGAGGGCAAGGAGAACCAGCAGCAGAGTCCAGCCCATGGAAAACCAGCAGGTTTTATTTGGGAGCAGAACCGTGTTCCTTCCTTTTGCCACAATTCACTTCTTCCGGGAGCTGGGGGTTGGGGGGACTGAACTGGAGCCCTGGGGAAACCTGGCATGGCCTTAAGCTGGAGCAGGGCAGGGTTAGGTGGGATATTGGGAAGGAATTCTTGGCTGTGAGGGCGGGGAGGCCCTGGCACAGGTTGCCCAGAGAAGCTGTGGCTGCCCCATCCCTGGGAGTGTCCAAGGCCAGGCTGGAGCAACCTGGGCCAGTGGAAGGTGTCCCTGCCCATGGACGAGGTGGGCTTTGAGGTCCCTCCCAACCCAAACCATTCCATGACTCTGTGCCAGCTCAGTGTGTGCCCACACCCCCCTTCCTGCCAGCTTGCCGTGGCAGAACACCCCAACTCCAGGCTGCCCCTCCTCACAGCCACCCGTGCTCTGGGAAGGGCGGGGAGGGGGCAGAACTCCAGCTGGGTGGCACTTTTCCCTGGTGACACGTGGGTGTCAGAGGGGAAGGAGCTGGACCTCGTGGCCTTCAGGCAAGCCTGACCACTTCCTTGACCATGTTCCCGATGCCATCATGGATCTCGTGGATGGGGGCGTTGCACATGAAGGCGCTGGTGGTCACCAGCCTGTTCCTGGGGTCCACGTGGATCTCGCTGACGTGGCTGTTGACGTGTTTGCAGCCCAGCTCCCGCAGGGACTCGGCCGTCTTGGCGTAGGGCCACCTGCAAGGGAGGAGGGGACAAACCCACCCTGAGGTGAAGGCTGGGAGAGAAAAGAGATGATGGTCCCTGCTCAAAACCTGCTCAGTAGGAGCCAAATGTTTTCCTGCCACAGGAGTTTCTCCAGGCTTACAGAACAGGGAACACCTCCAGATTAGAGTGAGTTAAAAATCTGAAGGAAAGCCAAAATAACCCTTGATGTTCCACTGCTTAACCCTGCCCATGCCAGACTTAGTGTTTATGGAATCCCAGACTGGTTTGGGTTGGGAAAGGGCTTAAAGCTCATCCAGTCCCACCCCCTGCCACGGGCAGGGACACCTCCCACTAGCCCAGGTTGATCCAAGCCCCGTCCAGCCTGGCCTTGGACACTTCCAGGGATGGGGCAGCCACAGCTGCTGCTCTGGGCAACAATTAGGTTTAGGTTTGGGGTTTTTGGGAGGATTCAGCCACAGCTTTCCTGTAGGACTGAGGACACTTTAACTCCCTCTCTTAACACTCCAAGGCTTGTGCCACCATCCTGCTCCTACCTTGGATCTGCTTCACTTGGAGTCAGTGCTCTGGTGTCTCTCCTACCCTGGGTCCATGAGGTGCCACGTGCACGGGGGAGGCAAATATAGGACTGTATTTCAAATGAAGTGTCTCAATTTAAGCTTTACTTAAAAAAATTAAGTGTCTTATTTCCATCAGACTTGTGGAAACACAAAAAAAAACAATGCCAGCAAATCTGGTGCGAGGTCATTCCTTCTGATCTGCTGAGAAATGGTAAAAGTCTTCCAGGCCCTCCAGGCAGGATTTGAGAGATGGCCTGGGAATACAGGACTGGCATCCATCACTTCATAAAAGCCCAGTCCAACTGTGACATGGCAGATTCTCCCACAGGCTTTCTTGGAGTGTGTGGAGCTTCTCCCGTGGAACGGGGACATCTCTTCATGGTCACTCCCCAGGGTTGGAAGGGAGCTTAAAGCCCATCCAGTTCCACCCCCTGCCCTGGCTGAAAGACCTGCCCATGATCAGTGTGTGGTGAGTTACCTCAATCTCCACTTAGTGATTGTTTCTTTTGGAATATAACTCCTTTGACACAGTGCACCACACTATTTTATGCTATATTTTACTCTACTGGGATTTTTTAGCTTTTGCCTTGTGTAGCAAATAATTCTGATCAAGGTCTTCCCTCTCTTCATTTGTCATAATTAATAATTTGTTTTATATAAGTATCATTAAAATATTGATATAAATACCATTAAAACCTGCGGGACAACGTGATTCAATCACACCTCTATAATTCCTGAAATTTGGCTTGGATCCCCCACCCCGAGGCCTGTCTCTGAGGAGGAAGGGGGGTGTTTCTTGGAGCTCAACAAGAGCCTTCCCTAATAAACTTCCAGCCTCCCAGTCCCCCCTGAGAGCCCCAGTGGGTCACTCACTTCTCACACTCGGTGTCGTGTCCCACTGTCACCTCGCAGCCCGGGAAGAGTTTGGCTGCCAGCACTGGGGAGATGCAGCACAGCCCGATGGGCTTGTGGGCAGCGTGGAAGGCCCTCAGCACGTCCTCCACCTCCCTGCAGACGCTGCAGTTCTTGCCTTGGGTGGCCCAAGTGCTCAGGTTTTTGGCCACTCCAAAGCCACCTGAGAGAAGGGGAAGAGAGGGAAGGGGAAGAGAGGGAAGGGGAAGAGAGGGAAGGGGAAGAGAGGGAAGGGGAAGAGAGGGAAGGGGAAGAGAGGGAAGGGGAAGAGAGGATTAGGCTGGGAGGTGATATCCCAGCAGGGCTTTTCCCAGGGATTGCAGGATGTAATGCTAATCTGGATGTGGGGGGTGGCAGCACTTGTCCAATGTTGATAATGGAATTAAAAACAGAGGTCCTGAACCTTTGTGGGCTGAGACACCCAAGCACCTCCCCTGCTTCCACTCCAGTGCTCCAGTGGGTGTGTTCTTCACCCAACAGCTCCTTCCTGAATGCTGGGGGGACACAGGGACACATTTCCCCTCTTAATCCCTGCTCCAGGCCTCATCCACCCCACTGGAATCCCACTTGCACTAGAGAGAGACTCAGACTGACCAAGCTTTCTGCCTTTGACCCCCCCCTCTCTGTCCCAGCCTCTCCTGGGAAGGAGGAAAGGACAGTGGGGAGGGAAGGGGTAGTTCTCCCTTCAGGGAATGATCCTCTGGATGGCACAGAGGATCATTCAGTTGGCAGGTACCCTCTTCTCTTGGGATCAGCTTGGCCTTGCCATGCTCTCTTTTGATCCGAGTCCAAGCCATGTCTGTCCTCCCAATCCCTGCTTCCAGTTCCTGTCCAGCCCATGACTCCTGTGTCATTCCAGGCTTACCTAAGCTGTTCCCAAGGCTGTGGACATGCAGGCCCCACACAGGTCCTACCTGGAATGATCAGGGCATCCAGCCCCTTGACATCCAGCTGAGCCAGATCCTTGATGTTCCCTCTGGCTATCCTGGCACTTTCCACCAGCACGTTGCGCTGCTCCGGCGTCGGCTGCCCCTTCACGTGGTCCACCACGTGCATCTGGGAGATGTTGGGAGCAAAAACCTCTGCCTGGGCACAGGGGAAAGGGCTGTTATCCTTCAGGAATGAGGGAGAAACGTGTGGAAGGTCACAGGGAGCGGGTGCTGAGGGACTTGGTTAGGAAAGGACTTTACCGGGGAATGCCATGACCTTCACCTGGATCTGATACTGGCATCAGGCAGAGGAGGGAAAGAGAGGCCTTTTGTAGCTTCTGCCCAGGGGCAAAGCAGGGAGCCCACACTGCTTGTTTTGGGGGATGAGGAGCCCTTGGTGAAGCTGTTTCTTGGAGGTTTCCATCCCTATCCCAGTGAATCCCCCTCACTGGGGCAGCCCCAGCCCCGTCCCAGCTGCCCCACAGAGCCAGTGGATCCCTGTGGGAGCTGCTGTCCCACCATGTGCCTCCCTCAGAGGTGGGACTTGGGGTTTCCTCTTCCCAGCTACTGTTTTCCCAAAGCCAGAGTGTTTTTCCAGAAAATGCTTCCCCTTCCTCCAGCACTTCCAAGCTCACATGCAGCAGGAGGGTGGAGGGTGACAAACAGGCGGGGGAAAGATTTTGGGGCTGAACACCCCGTGCAGTTCCAGGCTGCACGGTGTAAGAAGGATGCGAAGGAGCTCGAAGAGGGCAAAGCCGGTGCCAGGGCTGGAAGGAACGTCCTGGGAGGAGCAGCTGAAGACTTTGGGCTTGTCTAGTCTGGGGAAAAGGAGGCCGGGGGGAGACCTCGTAGCTCTCCGCAGCTCCCCGAGGGGGGGACTGAGGAGGGAGGTGCTGAGCTCTCCTCCCTTCCAGCTGAGACATTCGTGTTTTCGGATGAAAGCAGGGATTGAATAACGCCTGAGTTTCCTCCACTAGAGGCCCCCGGCGATCCAGGGATGAGGCAGGACGTGCTCCGAGCCCGCCGCTTCGGGAGTGGCAGGAGGGGAGCGACTCGAGGAGAGGAAAGGAGGCAAAATTACACCCTGTGGAGAAAACGCTTGGACAAGTCCCAGCTCTGAGCCGAACGGAGCAGGCAGAGGTGGAAGGGTGTGGAATTGGGTTCATGTCCTCAACAGTACATCACCACTGTGCCCCTGTGTCCCACAGTGCCATTCCCATTCCCGAGGGAACGGCTCTGCCCCAGCTCAGAGCTGTGTGATGTTTTCCACAGGGTCCCTCCCTCCTTTCCCAGTCTCACCGTGTGGCTCTCCTGACTAATAGTATATTAGAGCCACCTTTTTTTTTTTACCCCTCTCCAAATTGAACTCACAAGAACTTGTCTATTCTCTCATCAGAGAGGTGGACTCCCCATCCCTGGAAGTGCTCAGGATGGGGCTGGATGGAGCTCTGAGCAACCTGGCATAGTGGAAGGTGTCCCTGCCCATGGCAGGGAGTTCAACTGGATGATCTTTAAGGTCCCTCCTAAACCAAACCATCCTGTGATTCTCTGTTTCGATTTTCGCTTCTAACCTTTGAGGTTTTAAAAAGCTGGATTTCAAAGCGCCCAAACCAACAACAGTCTTTTAAACTGGAACAGTGGAGCAGAAAAGAGGGAATACAAGCCAAAAAAAAAAAAAAAAAGAATAGAGAAGGCATTCAGGAAAGTCTGTTCGGGAAAGAGTTTGGAGACACTGAGCACAGAGATCCAAGCCCAGCCCGTGGTACAGCAGAGCTGTGCAGGGAGCAGGGAGTTCTCCAGGCTCACTGGAACAGCTCCCGGGCTCTGCTGTCCCCTCTGACTCCACTCACTCATGATTTGCAAGCGATGGGGAGCTTGTGTCTTGTCTCGGAGACAAGGAGGAGAAGACTGAGGAGCAGAGAGGGGCAAAAAGAGCTGGAGCCGGGGCAGGAGCCTCTTACCTGAGCCCCCTCCCTGCTGAGATGCACCAGCACAGCCGAAGCCTCGTGGATCTCGCTCCCATCGTAGACCCCACAGCCAGCCAGCACCACAGCCACCCTCTTCCCCATGGAGCACCGGAGCAGGATTCCCTGGAGAGCCCCGGGTCGCTGCTGTGAGCTCTGTGCCCCAGGAGGATTCCCTGGAGAGCCCCGGGGCGCTGCTGTGAGCTCTGTTCACCACCCGGAGTCTTTTATAGCACAATCCCTCCCCCAGGAGCAGGTGGGGCCAGGAGGGTTGGGCTGAATTTCTCGCTGGCAGGAGGGTTTTATTTCCAGTTCCACAGGCAGGGCATGTAAATATTATTTGTTTCCTCAACTGGCTGCTCCCTCACAGATCTTCCTCCCAGCACGTTGTCTGCAAAGCAGCCCCAGCTGACGTGACGTGCCCAACAGAGCAGCTGTGTTTTTCCTTCTCAGCTCTTGATTTTCCATTCTAGTTCAGACTAAAGCACCAAAACCTTTGCACAGGAGGTGGTGTCAAAGGGAGCCTGCCCAGAGCAAGTGTTGAAGCCAGTGAATTCCTCTCTGGACCCCATTTTTTAAACCCTAACACTGCATAGGCTGCCTCAGGTTTAACACCAAGATTTCCTTTTCTGACTCTGAATGTTCTTTCCCTCAGATCCCCCCTCTCGAGGGCAGATGTTTTGCACTCAGCTGTAGTTGTTCCTGGCCTGAGGTTAGAAATTTATGGTCAAAAAGTCATAGAATATCCTGAGCTGGAAGGGACCCACAAGGATTATCAAGTCCAGCTCACGGCCCTGCACAGGACACCCCAAAATCCCACCTGAGAGTGTTGTTGAGAGGGATAACTTGATCCTTCCTCAGCAGCCCCACCTCTCCATTTGGCAGGGAAGTGGTGCCAGGAACTGGCAGAGCCCTGAGCTCTGGAGGGGCACTGGCAGCAGATTAAACATTGTCTGAAACTCCTCCTTCCCTGCCCTTGCTCTGCTCACATCTGAGAAGACCCTGGACCTCTGTCTCAGCTTGGCCTGGTGAAAGAACTGCCCTGTCAAGGCTGACTTCCCATCCTTCATGAGAGAACAAAATACCTCTGCAAGAGGAGTGCAGAATGTTTTCCAGGGTTGTCTGTAAGACACGTTCCTTGGGGCTCTGTCAGAATTTGGGAGAGACATGAAGTACATCCTGTGGGTGATGAACCAGTGTTTGGGCAAGGTGGTTACTCAGAGCAGGCTCATGACTTCATTTACTGCATGGATGTCCCAAAATGAGGGATTTGGGCACCTGTACAAGCAGGAACAAAACACATGTGAGAGAGGACTTGCAGTCCCACAGGCTTTGCCTCTCAGTTACTTTTATTGCCCAGAACACGAATTAAACTGTGAGATGTGCATTAAAGATACCCAAAGCATTTTCACTGCTGCTTGTTTTGTTATCCAGGGAATTCTAATGATGGTTTAGAGGTGTATTATCTCCTCTTGCATGAAAAACCAGTTGAATTATGCTGCAACTCCAGCTTCTTCCTCCAGCTGGTCCAGGAGCAGTCCTGTTAGTGATGGAACAGAGACAGCCAGAGGTTGGGGATTTAAACAATCTCCTTGCTGCAAACCACATTGTTTAGCTCTGCCTGTTGCAAACTGATGGGGCTGGTTCCCCTTACTGGTTTAATTAGTTTGGTGTAAGTGGACAAACCAGGCTTGTTTCTGTCTCAGTAGATGTGTCAGCCCTAAAGATCTCCCTGCAATAGAGATTTGTGATAAATAACATTTCTCAGCAGGGTTATTCCATCTGGGGTGGCAGCATCTGCCCACATTTATTGTGGTGGAGACACTGGGCTTTGATATTAACACCTGGCTTTAATCTGGGCTTTGATACTAACACCTGGCTTTAATCTGGGTTTTGATACTAACACCTGGCTTTAATCTAGGCTCTGATATTAACCCCTGGCATTGATATTCTTGGGAAGAGGGTTGGGAAGGAGGATTTTTCCTCAAAGCTCTTCCTGAAGGATGAATACATTTAAAGGGAACTGTCCTCCTGAAGAAACCAGGGAAGTTTGGGGGTCACAATGGAATCCAGTTGCTCACTGGAATCCATCCTGCTCCAGCTGGCTCAGGGAGTGGGAAGGGTGGGATTTTCTGGCATTTACCTGTGGACCCTGAGGGTTGTTCCGGATGCTGCTGCAGGTCTGTCGCCTCTCAGATGATCCCACAGGCCTGAATTTGAGCTCCAGCAGTTCCCAGTGCCATTTCCAACAGCTTTTCTCTTCTTCTGGCCTGGCTGTGGAGCAGGACCTACTGAGAGGAACATCAGAGCTTCCTCCTGGAGGGAGCACCAGGAATATCCCTGACCAGCCCAGGGATATTAATGTGGAGTTTTTCACACTGTTGTGCATCTTCTAGCTTGTCAGGAGAGTAGAATTTGCTTTAACTGGGGCAAATTCCTTAATGGGAGCAATCCCTACACTGGCCCCTCACCCACAAACGAAAGAGTGGAGGAATGTCCAGGCCAGGCAGGTGCTGCCCTGCCCCTGTTTCCATCAGAGCTTGGTTAGCTCTCACAGAACAGTTCTCTGCCCAGTTCCCACCTGGCCTGTGACCCAGTGTGATCCCTGTGTCCACTGCTTCCTGCAGCCCCTCCTCCAGCCAGACACACCTTTATGCCCTGACCACATGTTCCCTGTGGGAAGCAGCAGGAAGCTGTCAGCAGGTCCCTCATGTCACCTCTGGGGACAGCAGCGATCCTGGCAATGCCTGACACTTACTCGAGGCCAACAGGGCTCCTCTGGACAGGCTGGGATGGATGTGGAGCGAGAGATGGACAGAAGTCGCCTTGAAGGGGGGGCACCGAGCCTGCCCAGCACAGGGTGGCAGTGCCAGGCATTCAGAGCTGTGACAGGGACAAACAGCAGCACCGTGGCCAGCGTTCAGGAGAAACAACTGGTCCCCAAGGAGCTCCTGGGCTTGCAAAGTGCTTGTTTGCTCCAGCAAGATGGGTTCTTGCAAAAAACCTTCATTTTAACCAGTGCAATTTCCTCGCTGGCAGCGGCAAAGAGGCAGCGGCGGCAATAAACCCTCAGCCTTATTTTCCAAGTGTCTTTTTTAACAAGGGTTAATCAAGAGTAAAATTAAGAGGCCTCTGGAGGGAGCTCCCGGCGGCCCGCGCTGACTCACGGCCCCAAATTTATCGCCGCCCGAAAACCCATTTGCATTTTCCTCCCGCACGCAGCCGGGGAGAGCGCCTCGAACAGAAGAGGTCTGTAGGGAAAAGGGGTGGAGAGCAGGGAGGACCGAGCGCGGGCCAGGCGCGATGCTTTGGTTATAAAGAGCATGGGAGGGAGGGCGGCGGCAGAGCCGCCCTCGGCCGGGGCTCCGCGCACACCGCGATGGGCGACGGCGCGGGGTCCCTGCACGGCTGCCTCGGGCTCCTGGGCATCGCCGCAGGTAGGATCCCTCCTGGCAGGGGATGCGGGCTCGGGACTGACTCTCCTGGACGCCCCCCCCCTTTAGCAGGGGGGGCTAAGGAGGTTTATTCGCCAGCCGCGCTGCCCGCGGGTGAAGCTTTTCTCGCTCCCCCGCGCCCGTTTCCAGCGGCCAACAAAATATTTGTCTTGGCCGCGAAGTGCTGGCGCGGAGTTTTGTGCCCGTTCCGTCCTGGGTGGGAAGCAAATCCAAACTTTTTTTTTTTTTTGGTAGTCGTTGGAATAAATCATCTGGGTTTGGATGTACTCCCTCTCCCTTGTGCAGCCGTTCTCCTGTTTGCCGTGTTCGCTCCCTTTCATTTCCTCCTTCTTTGTTTTCTGCCTCTTTGCGTTTTGGGGCTGGTTTTCTGTTGGCACAACGTCTCTGGGATTATCTGAAGGATGTGTGTGTCTGCCTGTGTTTTGTGTAACTGGAATCACGGATTTTTCCCCTTTATCTGGCAACGGGGGAGCCCTTTCAGACACTTGCATGGAATTCCAGAAGGTCTTGGGTTGGGAGGGACCTTCAAGCCCATCCAGTTCCACCCCCTGCCATGGCCAGGGACACCTCCCACTAGCCCAGGTTGCTCCAACCTGGCCTTGATGGAATGGGAACGTCCACAGCCTCTCTGGACAACCTGAAATGATTATTTTCAAGTTTTCTAAAACCAGGCACCCAGAAAGGAGTGAGACCTTTGGGCACAAACCAAGGCACAACACTTACTATTTGCAGATCTTGTACTGTTATTTTTCTTCTATTCCCTGCTCTGTCCACCCTGGTTCTCTCCTGGTTTTTTGGGCCAAGTTTACAAGCTGTTTTTCCTTTTTCCCATAGGATCACTTCTGCTGGCTGTGCATTTCTACAGCTCAGCCAGAGCAGCCCCTCTGATCCCCAGCACAGCTCTTGGAGTCCTTCTGCTCATTTTATCAGCTCTTTTGGCCTATGCAGGTAAGATGTGGGGGGTTCAAGGCCTCCCCCTCCCACAGCTTAGCGTGTGCTGGGGCTGATACAAACCACAGCAGCCTCAGGGACAACTGAGCCCTTCTCCTGGAATTTGCCCAGAGAAGCTGTGGCTGCTCCTGGATCCCTGGAAGTGTCCAAGGCCAGGTTGGACGGGGCTTGGAGCAACCTGGGCTAGTGGAAGGTGTCCCTGCTCATGGCAGGGGGTGGCACTGGAGGAGCTTTAAGGTTCCTTCCAACCCAAACCAGTCTGGGATTCTATGTCAGCACAGCAAATTTTTACTGTACAGGCAAGAGAAGAAATCAATGTTTGTGTTAAACAAGGATCTCTGAGAGTTTTAACACAATGAATCCATGACTCCTCAAAAAAGGGTTCCCAGGCTTTCTGAGAGTACTTTCAGCATCCATGGTTTGGAATGTCCATCTGGACATGCCAGGAGATCAACTTAACTGAGAGAAAAAAATCACTGCCTGTAGCAGAGTCCACACTTTTTAGAATGAATGTTGAATTATTTCTCATTTTTAACTCAGAGTAATGAGGACATTAAAATCAGTCATGGAATCAGAATTGTTGGGAAAGACCTTTAAGATCACCAATTCCAACCATCAACCAGCGCCGCCACCACCATGTCCACCACTAAACCATGTCCTCAAGTGCCACATCCACGTGTTTTTGGAACACTTCCAGAAGTGGTGACTCCACCATTCCCCTCCACAA